GGCTGGGCAGTAGAACCAGCCTGCGCTGTGAGTACTGATTTGAGAACTGTGGTCGTGCCTTCAAAATGAGACTGGTTTTCTGCCATCTGCTTGGATGCAGGCACAGAGTTGGCAAATAGTTGAGTCAAGCAGGGTTAGTGTCACTTCTTCTGAACTATGCCTTGACCTTGTATGCTAGTGTAGTTTAATGGTTAAGAGCGCGGACTCTAGACCCAGACTGCCTGAGTCCAGATCCTGGTTCCACCCCTCATTAATTATACAACCTCAGATAAGTGACCTAACCTCTCCCCTCCTTGGTTTCTTCTTATGTAAAATGCAAATTATGAAGAGCGCTTATTTTATAGGGTGGTCACTTAGAATGGTGACTGGTATATAATAAGCAGGTTTCCAGATTTAGCAAATAAAAATACAGAATGAATGTTAACTAAACTTACTGTGGTAATCATTTCATGATACATGCAAGTCAAATCATTATGCTGTATACCTTAAATTATACAATGCTGCATGTCAATTATATCAGTAAAACCAGGAAACAAGTTTTTAAATGCAGGATGCACAGTTAATTTGAATTTCAGATAAACAACAAATATGTTTTTAGTATAAGCATGTCCCATGTAATACTTATCTGGCACCCCTAAAGGTAAGCATTAAATATGTTTGTCAGGGCTTCCCTGGTGGCGCAGTGGTTGAGAGTCTGCCTGCTGATGTAGGGGACACGGGTTCGTGCCCCGGTCCAGGAAGATCCCACATGCCACGGAGCGGCTGGGCCCGTAAGCCATGGCCGCTGAGCCTGCGCGTCCGGAGCCTGTGCTCCGCAACGGGAGAGGCCACAACAGTGAGAGGCCCGCGTACCGCCAAAAAAAAAAAAGTTTGTCAAATAATTAATAATTCTTGCATATGTTTCAAGGACACTAGAACTCTATTATATTACTGTACAGTTGTTTCTGTGCCTCTCTCCCTCATGATATGAGGGAACTTTCAGAAGGCAGGATCATGTCTTAATTATTCCTTTACCCCATGAACCCCACACAACAGTAACCATCGATAATTGTTTCATAAAGCACAGAGGATAAAAGGTCAAGGCACTAATACATGGAATCCTAAGGTGCCTCCATCACTACTTTCTATCCTTGCTGCTTGTCTCCTTAGAAGTTGCCATCAAAGATATATTTCTAAGAAATGTTGAAGAGGAGTGGAGTTAACTCTCATCATTCCTTATAGCAACAGTACTCAGCTAGGCAGTCTCCTGGCCTGGCCAAAGATCTGATACCACTTATGAATTAGAGATAATAATTGACATAAAAGTATATGTGAAAGACTACTTTTTTGGTGAATGGAATTGAAATTTGTGACAAATTCATAATGAAGGAAATCTTGCTTTGCAATAGATGAATAAAATATTTTATAAGAGTAGAAAATATATAATTAGGGGATGTAATTGTCACATTATTGTAACATTTGCAGGTACTTGTCTCGCATTTTTCTCTTCTTCCTTATTAGCCAAGTCCCAATCTCACTCAGGGTGGCAATGTGACCATCTAAAAACAGTCAGCTTCCCACACTTCCATGCAGCCACACAGCATAGTTGTAGATAATGAAAGGTAAGCAAAGTCTAGTTGACTGTGCTGCAATCATATTCAAAACTTTAAAATGATAAACACAGCTGGAAAACCCCTTAGCCCTTTGCCCTTCTACCTTTAATTCTCCTCCCCTTTGACCTTCTGAAATGTGTGATTGTCATAGATAACAGATACAATAAGTAGACATATAAAACATATTAAGATGATATAAAAACAAACTCACATTCATTCATCAAAATTCACACCTTTGGTAGTAGTTAATAGCTGAAGTCTTACCATAGAGTAAGGAAGAAAGTGATGGAAAATAATACCTATAATTAGATTAGGGTTGAGATAAAAATTTATTACATTATTACTTACCAAAGAAACCCAGAACTTCCCTGGTCCAGAGTAAAATCCACAGAGGATGTGACAGGGGGTTAAAGGAATAAAGATTTCGGGTAATGGTTCCTCCTCCTCCTCCTCTTCCCCCTGGAGTTCCTTTTCTCCATCTTCTCCCATCTGTGCTTCTAGGCTTTTCCTCCTTTCTTCCTTTTCCTTCTCCTTCAACTCCTTTTGTTTCTTTCTCTTTGCAATTTCTATTAATCTCTTGTGCAAGAGAGACATTGAGATAAAAAAAACTCATTCATTCACACTATTATTAAAGTAGGAGGAAGACAGAGTCCTAGAAAAATTCACAGCTCTAATGTAACAAATAATGTCATTTAAAGATTATTATCAAGTTGGGAATATATTTTTATTGTTAAAATTTTCAAATCATTGGAGTGACTTTCTTCATAACTCCCATTGATCCTGGTTTTACAGAAATCATTTTGCCTTTTTTTTCCTAATAGAGAAGTTAAATATAGCTTCTCTCAGAGCCTATCACTGTCAATCCATGAATTTGGTGGATTGAAAGAGTCCACGGGGGAAGCTGTCTCTATCTTTAGTGGTACAGTGATTTAGGCCCTCAGCCTCTATCAACTGGCTATTGCAAAAGCCCCCTAGCACTGGCATCCCTACCTCCCATCTTTTACCTCTTTATTCCATTTACTTCTTAGAATTAACTTCCAAATTTATATGATCTCATCACATCAATCTCCTCCTCAAAAATTCAAAATGGATTCCAGTGGCCCAAAAATTAAATTAAAACAACTTGGCTAATATTTAAGGGGTTCCATGTGGTGGTCACAGACTCCTGTCACACCCCTCCACAAATTGCATCCCTCTGCCTCATGGTCCACTCTTCATTTCTCGAAGATACCAAAACTCTTGCAACTCTTCCTTCCCTCAGGATGTTCTCCCAGCTTTTATTGCCTTCCTCCTCATTTTCAACCTGTGAAAATCCTTCCCATTCTTTAAATACTAAATATTACCTCCATGAAGTCATCCTTGACCTCCTCTCACCCCTCTATCAGAATCATATATTCTTTCCTCTGTGTGCCCCTAAAATTGTTTTCTTTGCACTGTGATTTTAATATCTACTCATTACCACCTTCTAATACAATAAGCTGCTTTCTACCAAATAAGCTCCTTAAAGTAAAAGTCTATGTCTTATTCTTCTTCGTATTTTCCCAGCATTTAACACAGGATATTTTATATTCTAAGAAAGAAAAAAAATTAGAAGACAATGCTTCAAGGGTATTTCATACCAGAATCTTAGATTTGATACTTGAGAAATGGAAACATTTTATACACATGTCTTTGATTTCATAGGAAACTACATCATGGTCCTCCTCCTCCTCCTTTATAGTTGGAAATGGAGCTTCAAGAACATAGTCATTCTCACAAATAATCAGTAAAGTACTTTCAGGCTAAAAACAAAATTAAAACATATCATTTACATTTAGGCAAATTTTTAGAAGCACAGTTCATAAAGATTTTAAACCAGGGAAACTATAATTGCTATGTATATTAGCCATTTTTAAAAGATACTTATTACCAGTAATAACCACAGTGAGGAACTTAGTCAATCTTATTAATCACTATACACAATTATTAGTACAATTATATCATTAATTAATAAGTGTTAAAATTAGATTTAGATTCATTTCCCTTATAGATGCCATATTTTCTGAGCCAAAAATTGGTTGTGAAATGTTAGCCCAAACGGCAGAATATTAAAATTAGGACAGCCAAGGAAAATCTGCAGTATGTGAATGGCATATACAACCTCAGCCTCCTTTGATGGATCATCCTCTCTCTGCCTGAGTTCATTTAATGTGGATGTCCCCAAGATTTTTGTTCACTTCCCTCTTCTTCTTTCTCTCCATAAACATGCCCTGGGAAATCTTATAGCCAATCAAGGCTTCATTACCACTCACAAGCAATTAGACTCCAGATTAATCTCTCTAGTCCAGTCCAAAATCACGTATTTAACCATGTGTGGGAAATCCCCATCTTGATAGTCTACAGAAACGTTATTCAAAATGTTTATTCGAAATGTTTATTCATTCAGTTATTCTATTCTATACTTATTATACACCTACTATGTGTTCAGAATTTTGTAGAGGGCTAGAGGCAAAATTATAATAAGAAAAATAGGGATTGTCTCTGTCATTATGAAGCTTACCTCCAATGGGAGAGCCTGTCATTTAGCAAATCATATAAATAAATGTAAATTATAACTGCAATAAGTGTTGCAGAGGTACCACAAGAGTAAGGAGGTTGTACAAGGCTTCCTGAGAAGGTGGTACCTAAGTCTCAAGGTGAAGGATGAGTGGAAGATATTTTTATAATGACTTAGGGGAGGATTTGAGGGAGCATGCTATGTAAAGGACATACCATGTGCAAATATCCTGTGGCACATTTGGGCTTTTAAGAAAGTTGTGGCCTTGGTGGTATCACCTAGGTGAAGAGAACAGAGTGAGAAGAGAGACTGGGACAGAGCCTTGGGGAAACAACACTCAAAGGCTGAGTGAGGGAGACTGAGAAGGAGTGACAAGATGTAAGAGAAGGAACAAGGAGAGCATAATGTCCCCCAAATCAAACAAACATGGTGTTTCAAAGAGGAAGTGAGGGTCAACAAGGTCAATTGAGGCTAAGAGGGCAAGAAGATAAGAACTAAAACTGTTAAATGGATACCTCCGGTATCTTTAGAAGAGCTGATCTGGTGGAATTATGAGACACAAGAAACTCGTAAGAATGTGTAAAGGAAGGAGTAGGTGTAAGGAAATGCAGTTTGTAGGAATAAGCAATCCCCTTAAGAAAATTGGGAGGAGAAACATGGAGCAGTGACTGGAAGAGAACATGAAGTCAAGGAATTTATTTTTTATACATGAGGGTCTTGAATATATTTAAATACTGATGGAAATAATCCATTTAACAAGTAAGGTTAAATTTATATGACAGAAAAGAGAAAATAAATGTGTGAAATGTTGAAAAAAGTGGGAGTAGAATCCAAAGGTCACAAGGGAGAATTGGCCTCAAGTAGGAAGGCACACAGCACCCCTATTGTAAAAAAAAAAAAAGGGAAGAGGAGCAGGTACATGAAGAGGTAACAGGACTTTACGTTTGGTAGTGGGAAGGCAAAGGAGTTCCTGGCAGAGGGCTCCTACTCTATGAAATAAATGATGCTGAGAATGAGAGTGAGCCAGCTAGTGGGAGGCTTGAAGCTCTGAGAAGAGGAGGAGTTTTTAAGTGTTCATTGTGGGTGAAAGAGAGTTGATAAGAACAATGTCATAGGATTGCTAAGCCATACCATGAATTGTGTTGAGGCCATTTGAGTCACTAAATTAGGGAGAAGCTAAACTTCTCTGATGTATGACTATCTCCAGCTGCCCTTGGTAATCACTGTAGGCAAATACAAATCAGTTGGGGGCATTCAGGGATGGATTTTTGCCAGAAGTGTATGAAAAAATGAGAAGGGAGCTCAAGGCATTGGAAGAGTGCTATTGAACCCTACTGAAAAGAATCATGACATTTAAGCCGGATGTAGGGGGAATTTAAGACAAGAGTGGACTAATGAGTGAGGGAAAGCAAATGGTGAATGAACAAGGGGTGCCTGTGACTTCAGAGAACAAGTAGAGCAGAAGTAGCTAAGTTAACAGGCTGGATAGAAGAGAGGTTGAGGTTAGAATGTGAGATATCTGAATAGTAGACTTTTAAAGTTGAGTTCTTACAAGACGTTGTAGTCTGAATCATGTCCCCCCAAATTCTTATGCAGAAGTCCTAATCCCCAGTATCTCAGAATGTGACTGTATTTGGAGATGGGGCCTTTAAGCAGGTAATTATGTTACAATACAGTTGTTAGGGTGGGTCCTAATCCAATAGGACTGGTGTCCTTATAAGAAGGGGAGATTAGGACACAGAGGGACAATCATGTGAGGACACAGTGAGAAGGTGGCCATCTGCAAGGCAAGGAGAGAGGTCTCAGAAGGAACCAAACCTGTCAGCATTTTGATCTTAAACTTCTAGCCTAAAGAACTGTGAGAAAAAAAATTCCTGTTCTTTAAGCCACCCAGACTGTGGTATTTTGTTATGGAGGCCCTAGTAAACTAATAAACTGTGGTAATAGTGCCCAGTGGGTGGCTGTGAATGTGTGTGGATAAACTGTAAAGGTCATGGGAAATGAAGAGGTCAAGAAGCTCAGAGGCTGATGTGATTTGATTGACTAGGCATATGGTGCTAATATCATTCAGTATAATTGTTTACACTTCAGATAAAAAGAAAGATAACCATATTCTCAAAATTTTAATAAAGAGGCAGGCTTGACCAGGTGGTCAGATGATAACAGCAACATAAAAAGATAGAAGGTGATATAGCCAAGTTACAAGAGCCTCAGAGGAGCTGTGTTTGTATTTTATGAGTCAAGTCATAAAAGTAATAAATATTGTCACAAATGAAATAAAAGTTAACTATTATACTTCTCTCCCTGACCCCAAACATATATAATGAATGCTAAAAAGTTGATGTGTATCCTTTCACACTTTTCTCCTCAGAATAGAATTTTTTCGAGTACAGAAAAGGGTATTCATTTATTCATTCAGTGAAGATATGGTCAATCCATATCCATGAAGATAAAATAACCAGACACATTAGAAATAAGACATCAAAAGTGAGAGTCAACAAAACAAATACCAAAAAAATCCATAAAGACTTCAGATGTTGAAATTATCAGACTCAGTCCAAAAAACAATTATGCTTACTATATGTAAAGGAATATAGAAGTATCCACAGGAAGCAAAAAAATATAAAACTAACAAAACAAATATGACAAACAACCAAATAAAACTTCAAGAACTAAAAAATACAGAAGTTGAAAATAAGATCACAAAGGATGGCTTTAACACCAGATAACTGAAGAGATTACTAGTCAGTAGAAAATATGAGAAGAAATCTGTAAAATACAGCCTGGAGAGATTTTTTTAAGCTAGAAAATACGGAAGATCTGTCATTTATATGACAGAAAAAACCAGTGTGACATTTTGGAAAAAGTAGGAGTAGAGACAGAGAAAGTTAAACAAAATGAGAGGACAGAGGAATTTGTTACAAACAAAAGAACAAGGGAAAAAACCCTTAAAAAAAAAAAAAGATTAATGAAACAGAAACAATTTACCAGATGAAGAGCTCAAAGCACTAGTAATACATATGCTAACTGAATTTGAAAAAAGAATAGATGAACACGTGAGAATTTTAACAAAAACTAGAAAAATATTAAAAATAATCAGAGCTGAAGAATACAGTAACAAATGAAAAACACACTAGAAGGAATTAGAGCAAACTAAGTGATACAGAAGAAAGCATAAGTGATCTTGAAGGTAGAATAATGGCAATCACCCAATCAGAATAGCAAAAAGAAAAAAAAATTTTAAATGAGGATAGTTTAAGGGACTTCTGGGACACCATCAAGCATACTAACATTCCCATTATAGAGATCCGAGAAGGAGAAGAGAGAAAGAGAAAGGGGTTGATAATCTATTTGATGAAATTATGGCTGAAAACTTCCCAAACCTGCAGAAGGAAATAGATATCCAGGTACAGGAAGCACAGAGATTCCCAAACAGGATAAACCACAAGTGAAGAAACTAAAAGAACACAGAAGAACTACAAAAACAGCCAGAAAACAAGTAACAAAATAGCAATAAGCACATGCCTATAAATAACCACTTTAAATGTCAATGGACCAAATACTTCAACAAAGAATTATGGGTGGCTCATTGGGTCTTTTAAAAAAAGACCATCCATATGCTGCTTACAAAAGACTCACTTCAAAGCTAAAGACACACAGAGACTGAAAATGAGGGGACGGAAAAATATATTTCATGCAAATGGAAATGACAAGAAAGCTGAGGTAGCAATACTCATATAGGACAAAGCAGACCTTAAAACAAATTTTACACAAAAGACAAAGAAGGGCATTATGCAGTGATTAAGGGAACAATACAGGAAGAGAATATAACATTCATTAACATATATGCATCTGGGACTTCCCTGGTGGTCCAGCAGCTTAGGCTCTGCACTCCCAATGTAGGGGACCCAGGTTCAATCCCTGGTCAGAGAACCAGATCCCACATGCCACAGTGAAGTTCCTGCAGGCCACAACTAAAGATCCTGTATGCTGCAACTAAGACCCGGTGCAGCCAAATAAATAAATAAATAATTTTTAAATGTTTCTAAAAAACATATGCACCTAATATAGGAGCACCTAAACATATAAGGCAAATATTAACAGACATGAAGGAAAAAATTGACAATAATACAATAATTGTAGGGGAACTTTAACACCCCACTAATGTCAATGGACAGATCATCCAGACAGAAAATCAGTAAGGAAGTGGTGGTTTTTAATGACACATTAGACCAGTTGGACTTA